TTTACCAATTTTAATGACTTATAGTGATTTATAGCAAGTATATGATAATAAAATATCAGATTCATTTTTATTCGATTGCTCAGGTAAAAAACAGATTCATACTTTTTTATATTTTTTTTTGATTCGGTTAAATTAGATCCGATCACCATAGACGGCTAAATTATAAATTTTGTATCACATAAGATCTTCCTAGTTCCTATTGATTATATTTCAAGTATCCATATGAATTTTAATAAATCGGTTTGTAGATCTCTCGTGATTAACAGGGGAAGGGATATTACTCAGGTAACTTAGTACAGTGTTCACGGTTTTTGAATCACGTAAATTTGCGAGGAATTTATATAGGATCATCTTTCGGCTAAGCTAATTTTATATTTACATGCATATGCATAGCGTCTTCGGCTAAATTGGTTTGTAACATTATAGCTAAGCCACTGTTATTATTCGATTAAATCATTCTCGAGTCTAGGCAAAAATACCTCATTACGTATTAGCAATCAGTTAAAAAAAAAATACTAGGCCCGAAAATGTATCAGATGTGCGAGGCAATTTAGCCGAAACAGAGTTCAGGTCTAATTTAGCTGATACATGTTGATCGAACTGCGCAGAATCATATACATGCAGATGATAATCATATTTGTGCGATGTCTGATATTTTGGTTAGATTACATGGCATGTGAATCGAGGTCATGTATCCCAACTCTAATTGACTCTGCAAATCATTTTCGAGAATTTTAGCGATCATATAAGGTGACACGTCTCACGTTTATTTTTTTTTTGTTTTTTGCATAATATAGCAAATAGGTATTACTTTATTAATAATCGTATTTACAATGATATTAAAATAGCTAACTTGAGATATTTTGTGAATTTCGCATAGTAAATATTAATCACATATAGCAGTCTAATAAACGGGATAACTCACACTTCTCTTTACTAAACAACTCTTTATCATCATTTCGAATTGACATTCCAAAATCGGTCAAATACACATATCCTTTTTCGTCAACAAGGATATTTTCCTCACGAATATCATTATGAAGAATCTTATAATCATGAATTTTATCTAATGCTCCGAGAGCCCTCTTCTTTTGCCTTTTATCTATCTTATGATGACTTAACATAGTGCCAACCATGGACATACCCATAACAAAGCTCATTCCATTTGCCAAATCGCCATAAAACAACAATTCTGGAATATATATCCCCTGAAGTTTAGCAAGAGATTTATAAATTTTAACTTCATTCAGCAATTCATCCAAACAATTGGGTTTCTTTGACAAATCAGTGCACTTTAGGACAATTGTCTGTCCATGGAATTCACATTCAAGCACCTTTTTATTTTCTCCAGCGCTTAATATACTATTATACTTAAAGTCCCCATAGTTAAAATTCTGTGCCTTCATGTTTTGTTTCCAGAGGTATTGGAAGATGATTGTTTAGAAGCTGATTGTTTGGAAGATGATTGTTGACTTCCAGAAGTACCGGAAGATGATCGATTGAAAGATGATCGTTGACTTCTAGAGAGTTGTGGATTTGAGTTAGAATCATAACGATCATCATCAGAATCATCGTGTGAACGTTTTCGAAGATTATATTGTGAATCGTCAATTTGCGGAATGATGCTAGAATGAAGAGAATAATGGTCACGCTTTGCTAGCCGAGCTAGATATGCGTAGCTCTTGAGAATTGGTGGACGTGTTGAATCCAATGAAGGTGACTTTGAAATATATAGACGTTTATGCTCTCTCTTAACAAACCAATTATTATCGTAAGTAGAAAGTGCTCCGTATTTAAGCTGGTTTTCTGACAAGTAGTTGTAAATTTGCTGTATCACCATCCTTGCTTTAGCATCCTCTTTATAAAATTCGGGTAATGTTTGATCAGGTTTGATACCTAGTAAAATGTGATATCTCTTGATTTCAATTGCCATGATCAGTTTATCATCATCTTTTTTGTGGCAAGCAAAATTTGGGCTACCAGTACCTTGAACTCCCCGCATTGCAAACTCACAATCTGTGATAACCTCATTCAAAATCATACAAATGTTTACATTAAAAGCATTGCGAACAATTTCTTCAAAGGTTGCCTTAAATTTTGTATTAAATATCGGTTTTTGGAATTTTTGTTCTTGGTCGAACATATACTCATTTACATTTTCGAGGAAGTCTTCCCAGAGTGTCACTTCATCCGGAGGGTTACCGACTGCATTTGTAGAACTTGTCGAGCTAGTACCATGTGGAGAATATGTGATATATGGCGGAGGATACGATAAATATTCTTCAAGACTTAGAAGCCCTAAAAAAATGGGATGAGTTAATAAATACTAGACTAGAAAGACGTTCGTTGAATAACACGCGAGGCGTACAAACGTTAAACTATTTTAACTTACTTTGGTCGTTTAATCGAGTAACAAAATCCACTATTCTTTCTGCTGGTCCATCAAGAAAGTTATAAGGAGGATTAATAAGCCTTTCCGTGATCAACTTGAGAAAATTTGAACCAGAAAGCTCTCGGCTTGCAAGGGCGTTAATATGATCATCACGAAGAAATAACGCCTCTTTCTTGGTGTTTAAATAAATAATAAAATCCGCTGGACTCAAAGCTTCAACTTCTTTGACTGACAGATTAGCGTGAATAGTGGACATTTTTTAAAAAATATATTGAGACAAACGTGTAGTCGACAGTTGTACAGTTCAAAAAAAAAGAAAGGGAGCAAGGATTTGGGTGTATTTATATGAAATCTATTGTCGCACAAATCAGTCAGACGATCCATAACTTATGTCACTAAATATTTTTACACACATAAAATTTGAAGCCCGAAATGTTGGGCGAAACTTTATTAATAATTTTTCAGATACAGTAATAGTAACGGCAAATATGAAGTAATGAGAGAAATGTATGATACTATCAAAGAGGGAGGGAGTACTCGGATCCTAGGCCATAAATGAGAGTCCCAGCATCAATTTATTTCTTTGCTCTCTCAGGCTTTTTATAAACTTCTACATCTAATTTATTTCTATCACTATTACTAACTACGAGATTCTCACCCCCATACTCTTTTATTATACTAGATTTTTGAAATAAATTTTCTCGCACATATCTACAGAATTTTCGTCTATCTATATCACTCCCACCCACATAAATTATATAGAAAGATAAGTGAACTTCCCAGAAATGAAATAATTTCGAAACTATATGAAGAATCCTGAAGATTAGCAATGAGATAAAAAAAAATGGGGTATCTGATTTCACACTTACCAATACACTTCATTTTTATAATATTTCACACCGCCTTATATTTGTAGCTTAATATATTGTAATAAAGATATTTCGATTTTTTTATCGTCAGTTCGATACTGCGCCAAACGTCAATAATTCAGTACCTAAATTTTATTCGATATACTGCGCACTGTATTTCAGCATGTGACGAAAATTTGGTTAATACTGCGTTGATTAAACACATGACAATGATCACGATTTTCTCGGCGAATATCAAATGTGCGGAAAGTAACAAGAAAGGTAATATGCCCACTTTATCTTTGAACATCTATAGAGCCGGAAAAAAATGATTAGCGTTGTGATAACGATTTTCTAGAATAAAGCCAAGAAATCAAACAAACTAACTTTGTTATTACTTTGCAGAATATACTCGTTTGATTGATTGTTGATATTGGTTGATGTAATAGTGGTAAGTTTGAAATTTCTTTTGATTTCTTTTTGCTTTACTTGCACAAGACGGATAAAAGGATTCACTAAATAAGGCCTCACCTTTTTATATGATTGTAGTGGGTTTAAGGATCGATTTTTGGAATAAATCTTGGGAGAAATTACGTTATTATAATTCATCACGAAAATCAGATCAACGGATACTCCTTAAAATTATAATAGACACCGGGATCGTGTCCCTGGATCAACAAGGGGGTCTTTCTAATTATTAATACATGCAAAAGCTTCAGTATATACAGGAAACTTCGAGAATAAATTATACGACACAATGACTTGTTCCCGTAATACATGGTGATCTATCCTAATGATACTGCGCACTTATCGAAATTTTTCGGGTCTAGATCCAGATGAAAAACTGATCAAGAAATATTAGCATACAAACACTTCTCAACACATACTAGATATTGACATAAATATATTGTGTTTAATGAGCCTTAGCTTTATTGATTGTAAATAAAAAAATACATATTTTTGTTCACTCTGCGGAATAATATCTGATGCAACAATGCCATCACGTAGCCACAATCGCGAACCTGAATTTATTGCTTGAAGTGAAGCAAGTAAGACAATATTCTGTTCCATACCATTCGCCATGTAATCCATAATTCCCATGTTTTCCATCGCAAATAGGACATGGTGAGCTCCACGGCTGAGGTGATGTAAAATTATAATTATCTATCCCTCTAAAACTATTTCGGAATTTCAAGTATGTGAAATGCTCTAAGACGGATTTGATAATTAATTCTGGATCGGGTCTGACTTCAAAAGTTATAGGCCCTTTTTCTGGCTTCGAATTTATAACATCCGATTCATGTACTTCTGTTAGTTGCCATGGCTCATTTCCAGTTTGTTTTTTATATCTTTTGTATAATTTGGAACGAATCTTATCTGTCAAAATACTTGGTAATCCAATTAATTTGGTATGCCAATCCAGATATTCGGCGGTTAGTATTCTATCAGACTCAGTCATTTTCCTTTTTATATGACTGCAAACAATTTAAATCCCCGCCCCTTTGTTCTTTGAACTGCAGGGTGAGAAAAAAACCTATCTGTTATACGGAGCCTGCGAGCCTGCAAGTAAGAAATATATCACTTTTCTCCCACCCCGGGTTAGCTATGCTAACGAGGGGTAAGACTATGCAGTTATCTCAATTTCACGCTATTCACATTTAATAAAGTAAGATCCAGCTTTATACTCATCTTCTATTTCTTTATCATTATGACCTAATTTGTATAATGGGCAGATGTAGTCCCGCATGATGTCTCATCAGTAATCCCATAATAATCGAAATTTTCACTATTACATTCTCTATATAAATTAGAATATTGATCCAATGTCTTGTTTCGAAAATAGGTGTGGTCATAAGTTGGCTTAGATTGGGCTTGTACATTAGTTTGATTGGTTTTTGTTGTAGGTGGAGTGCTTATCCTGACATCTGGTGATTTTTTCGATCCAGACTTATTCGATTCAGGTGGTAAGTCACGTGCGCGTAAACAATTGTTTACGCCGATCAATTTTTGAGATTTGATTAGTTCATCAGTATAAAGATTTATTATATTCTGGATTTGTGCATCAGTTAGCCTAG